GGATCTCCCTTGGGCAATTGTGATGCATTGCGTAACTGGTGTTCACCCTATAGACTTCGTCGAATTCTTTGAGTAAGTCATCTTTCTCTTTTTCAACTAGTTCAGCCAACAAACCTGCCATTAATTGCTCTAGTTCTTCATTTTTGGATTCCTCCACGTTTTGGAACCTTAGATATGCTGCTGCTCTGTCCATCTCAAGTTGGACCAAGGAATCTTCCATTTCTCTATTAACATTTTTAAAGTCTTCCTCAGTCCTTTCTAAGTTCCTCTCCGCTCGTTCTGTCCTCCTCTCTATTTCTTTTATTTTTATTTCAGTTCTTTCCATGGCCAATTGCATTCTCCCAACCTTATCTTCAACTTTCTGTATATCTGCTCTCATCTCCTCTTTTAATTTACCCATTTCTTCCTTCAGTTCGCTAATATCGGCTCTGGTCTCATTGTGGTTCCTAATCATAATCTCCTGCATTCTAGACATTGATTCTTGCAGGGATAATAGTGTCACTTGTAGATTAGCATTAGTGATGGTCAGTTGTTTTTCTCCTGTCAAGGTCTCTTCTATAGTTTTCTGTGTTGTTGGGGAGGCAGTTGCCAAAGTTGTCGTCAAGGTCTGGGTGTTCTTCCTTCCCGTTTTCAGGGCCGTGGTTGTTGTGGAAGTCATTTCTGATAAGATTTGTTTTTGCAATTGGACAATGTTAAGAATATTATCCCAAATCACCATTCGATGTAATAGCCCCTTAAGTGTGATTACAAGTCTATTTACTAAGTTTACACACCAAGTTATTTTAGATCTCTTTCTTCGGCCCAATTCGTCGTTTAGGCAATTTAAATTCCAATTCAATAAAATGTTATCAGATACTATACAATAGAATGTTATCAAATACTATGTATTATGTATTATATATTATTCTCTATACTAAGTTTATATACCAGAGTTAATTATATTTTACCCCAAATAAATCAATACCATATCAACTCAAACTTATTTAAAGCTAACAAACAACTCTAGAATTTCTCACTCTATATATACCTTTATCCTATAATGTATATTAATATTTAAGGTTCCAATTAATCTGAGTCAACCCTGTTTAACAGACCTTAAAATTTTTGTATATTCAAGAGACTATAATCAGTAAACCCTAATAACTATAATAAGCAATTTGCCTTTATACCTATATTTATAATTATTATAGGGAGAAAGAAAAGAGTAAGAGAGAAAGGGAGAGAGAGAGAGTGCGGGAGGGAAAGGGTCTTTTAGATTTCGGGGAATCACTAAACACGTATCTGTGGATTAGTTCCATAGAAAAACAAGTCTGAGTTGGGGCTGGCGTTTTAGTCTTATAGTCTTTCTTCCTGGGCACACCAAAGGAGCAGGGGGAGGAAGTGCTGACTAATTGCTGTCAGCACTCAGCGATCAGTCTTTACCAGGCTTCCTTCTGTCTCTTCCTTCTTCTTCTTTCCTCTTCTTCTTCCCTTCTGCCAGCAATTGTCAGTCCACAGTCGCTTTGGGTGTCCACCTCAGATCGGTCACTTTAGAGATCAGCTTTGTAGGCAATATTGCTAGAAGGAAGAGGACCTTACATATAAAAGTCAGTGTGTCGCTCTCTCGCTCTCTACAGCTCGCTCTGCCCTCCTTCGCAGCTATAGTCCTCTCCTAGTCTTCTAGTCTTCTCAGGCACTGGTCCCAGATGGCAATCCACTCCCGAGCCTCTTAAATTTCCCACCGCCTTCTTCTCTCCTCGACAATCTTCTTCAAAATGCTCCAATCCACACTTTCACTTTAAGTGTCGAGCCATTCTATCCGCGTTTATCCCCCTTTCACTTTTTAAACTGCTTTTCTAGCCGCTTGTCTCCAGCTTCCCACCACTGTTACTCACAATGAAACAGGGAAAGTCAGACCGATCTCTCTCATGGCTTTTGTAGTCCTTCCGCCCTTTTCTGCTCGGATCTTTCAGGCTGTCACTTTTCGCTTCATCAGTTCAGTGACAGACCAGACTTTGGAGCCGCCATTAGCTGGCGGCTGGCTCAGTCGCGCTGGTCTCAGAGGCTCTTCCTTCGCTGCTGGGGAGTTGCCTTCCCCCAAACAGCAACCCGGGGGTCCTCTATTCTGACACGAAGCTCTACGGGTTTCGTGTATCCACTGGGGATCCCTCCAAATGCGAGAAGAGGTGTTCGAAAGCCACAGCTGGGCTTCTCCACCTCTGGACGTCCCTGTCCTGCCACTGGAAGTTCTGATCATTACTATTTCTTAATACAGTAATTAACACACTCTGATGCTAAGGAGTTCTACTCCCTCTCCCCACCTGAAAAGAACTCTGTTCCAATTGCCAGTTGTATTATATTAACATGCACTGATGCTAAGGAGTTAGACATTCTACTCCCCCTCCCCACCTGAAAAGAACTGTTCCAACTTCCAGTTGCCTCACATTCTGCTACCTTCTGCATAGCCTGATCACTGCCAGTTGCCTTACATTCCATTATCTCAGTTCAAAAACTGGCAGATTTCCACTCCTTCACTCAGGACCAGCCTGGGGCTGCTTACAGAACTAAATATCAGTACCTCACTAAAATGTCTATGCCTTCCACCTCTGGAACTGATCATATTTATTAGCATTTTAGTCACTACAGTTGATGTGATCATGAGTTCAAGAAAGCACAGGCCAGTCCTTCACTGTTCCAGGGTGGACCCACAGACCAAATCTAAACATCCCGTGGCTGGATCTATCCTGTGGGCCTTGAGTTTGACACCCCTATTCTAGTTTTTGACCTTCCTGGAGCAGAAATCTCTATAGCAGCACCATATTTTAGGTAGACTAATGCAATACATCTTTTTAATTTACATTTAAAAATTATGGAGAAATTTACATAAAAATAAATAGAAAAAAGAAAATAACTAAAGTTATCAAATAATTACTTCCAACCAGCTCTTCAACTGATAATTACAGTTTTATAATTCTGGCTTCCTCTTGGATGTTTTGTAAATCTCTTTAATCCTTCACTTAATCTGGAATTTTTTTAATCATCAAATTCATAAATCATCATATCACTATTTTTTTCCATCAAAAAGTCCACATAAGATTTCTGGTCTTTTTACTTTGATTAGGCAAATCAGATTTGCCATTTTAGCAATTTCTGTAATTTTCACAATCCATTCCTACACTTTGGGAATTTCATTGTTCCATCCATCTTTGAAAATACAATAATTTTTCTATACTCAAGAACATGGCTAAAATTGGATTTCAAGCCTTACATACGTCTTCTAATATAAAAACCCCCCCACCATAGATGCATCCTTTAATGTTCTTTCTTTTTTATGTAATTAAGTACCATCCTTCAGAACGAAGGAATCTCTGGGCTGCTCTGTACAATAATGGAAAAACAAAAACCACAACAGATTATTGGGCTTCACATAGCAAGGAATAGCTATAGAGAGAACTGCCAATGTTTTGAAAATATAAAAAAAAACCTAAATTTAAATAATTTGAAAATAAGATGAATTATCTTTTTTATTATTATTTAAAGGATTTAAATAATATGTTTATTATTTATTATTTAATTAATGGATTTAATGAATGGTTAATTTTGTTTTCATTTTTGCTAAAGAAAACCCCTGCCATACTTCTTTTTATTTTGGTCCTGTATAGAATTCCAATTTTGGACTTTTATGATTTTTAAAAAAAATATTATTAACCAATATAATCTAAATGCTGGGATTAATGTTTAGTTCCTTTATTTTAGCTTTAGCAATTTCAGCCCAATCTATAGAATTGATTATATGTCCTTTTTTTCCTAATTGCAATGTCAATCAAGAGGAAGATTACAAATTCAGTTGCCTACAGTCAATATTCAGAACCACCTGCATATATTGAATATATACAACAATCTGATGTCTACTAAAATTATGGAATTCAGTGCCAGCTTTTATGGTAATGACAGCCCTCCTGGAGGGTTTAAAAGAGGATTGAACAGGTCCATGGAGGTCAGACTATCAAACTCACTGATATTGGTGGCTGGTTTTGTTTTTTTTTTTTTTTTTTTACTATCTTGTGAATTATAGAAGTGACACTTAAATGAAATGAAAAAGGGCTGACATTTTTTTGACCAAGGATTTTGGGCTTTCCAACTGATCACTATTGTATAAGAGTTGTATTGAGGTGTGTGCATGAAGGGAAGTTTAGCCAATCTCATTGTACACATGTTGTACTCTGACAATAAAGGTAACAATAGTATATGCTTTATTACTGTTCAATAATTGGGCCTATAGCATCATCCAGCAAATATTTTTATATGCTCTTATAAAATGAAGTATTAGCATAAGAAAGCCATTGTACTTCCAATTCCCTGTTTAACTAATAGCAATAAGAGCATGGACTGATTGACAATAGCTAGCTTTGAAAAAGGACACCTCATGACAAAGAAATTCTCTACTGTTGGATCAATTCTATTGCCTCATATGTTCTGTTCAATTCTTCATTAAAAACATATCTTTGCAAGAGTAATGCACATAGCATAGGACAAAGTTTATCCAAGCAGCTCCCAACTCTTATTTTGTCAAACAATTTTTGGAATAAGGCATTGGACTCATCCTTGACTACCAACCATTTTCTATCAGTGACATTTTGCATTACTGAAAAAATTGCCAAAATAACTTTTTAGAATGAGTTATTCAAAATAAGGAATTGAGTACAGTTGACCTCAGAACTTCTAGTAAGTAGAAAGTAGTGACAGCCACTGCTTGCCAGAAAAATGAGTCAAATGTTATTAATCCCTCCTAATTTATATCAGCTCTGTATGATCTGTCTTGATGGCATGTAACAAAACAAAATGGATTAAATTGAATGAATAAATAAATAAAATCTAGACTTCCCAATATGTGTCATTAAGTTCATGTGAAATAGACTGTTAATTATACTACTGTATTGTGCTGGATTTTTATTGCTATTTCTTGACTTTGTCTATATTTTTAAGTTCTTCATTTTAAGAATGTTTAAGAATGATTTTAGGACACTTCTTAGTCCAACTTTCACTTTGTCATTCCTAAGACTGTATATGAAAGGATTCAACATGGGAGTCACTATTGTGTTCAGCACAGTACCCATTTTGTTAAAATCAAGCACATTTCCTTTGGTTGGGCGGACATAAATAAAGATAGAACTCCCATAATATAGAGTTACCACAGTAATGTGAGATACACAGGTTGAGAAGGCTTTCTGACGACCTTGTGCTGAAGGTATTCTCAGTACAGCAATAATAATATACATATAAGATACAGTGGTTACAAAAAGTGATCCCAAGAGTAATATACAAGAAGTCCCAAAATCAATATTTTCAGCCAACAATGTGTCACTGCAGACCAGTTTGAGTAAAGGTGCACTGTCACAGAAGAAGTGATTAACAATATTTGGGCCACAGAATGGTAATCCAGCTGTCACAATGCTGGGAATTAAAATAATCATGAAACCACCAACCCATGTCCCCAATAAAAACTGGAAACAAGTCTTATTGTTCATAATCAAAGCATAGCGCAATGGGTAACAAATTGCAAGATAACGGTCTATGGACATGACAGCCAATATGAAAAATTCAGTCGATCCCATCAGAAAATAGAAGAACGATTGGGTAAGACACCCCACAAAGGAAATTGTCTTCTTCCCTGTGATCATATTTATTAGCATTTTAGGCACTACAGTTGATGTGATCATGAGTTCAAGAAATGAGAGATTAGCCAAAAAAAAATACATGGGCAACTGAAGATGGTGATTGACTACCACTAATATGATTAATGTGACATTTCCTGCAATGGTTAATGCATATGCAAAGAAGAAAACAATGAAGATCACAATCTCAACTGAATGAATGGTATGAAATCCCAGAAGAATGAATTCAAATACAACAGTTTTATTGACCAGATTCATACTTTGATGAATTTTATGCTATTCATTAACAAATAAGAGACAAAGAGAGGAAAAGAAGAAATGATGGAGGAGAGAGAAAATTGAACTATTAATCAGATCCACAATTGACACATCTGTAAAAATGAAGAATTAGGATTAGTAGACAATAGATGCATCAAGCAAATGTAAGTTTACATATTCAGATTAATTATATGCTGTTTCTAGTTTCAATCTCATACACTCAGGCTATTTCTTGAGAAATTATCAGTTTTATTTTCAGGTAACAGGCATAACAATAAATTCATATTGTCTTATATGTTAAACAAAGCAAAGACTTGCCTGCAAATGTGTTTTTAAAGAGGAGCATGAAAAATAGCTATCTAAAATTGGTCCAGGGTTCAAGAGCGAGGTCAAGGTTGTCAGCAAGTCCAAGGATTTAAGAGTGAAGAGTGAAATGCAAAAAACAGGGATCTCAGCTGAGCTAGACATTATTTTCAGCAATGAGAATAGAGATGACCAATTCCCTTATATAGGCTACAGTCAACTATCACTCCTTGGAATGTTATTGCAATCAACTGTTGCTAACTGGAATTTTTACTCTATTGCTTGGCAAATAACTTAATACAATCTCTGTTTTGCTCTCCTTTCTACAGGCCCCTGAAAAATTAAACCACTGCATTACTATATAGTCTTCAAGGCTAAAATTTATACAAATTTTGTAATTCCTTCAGTTTTTTTCCATGATAAATAATAGAAAAGGAGCATATCTTTTCAAATATCACAGACTCATAATATTAATTGTAAAGTCCTTTAAATCCCAGCTCTGTGTTAACAATGTCTATAGTTTTTTTTACATCTGTATTTATTGAAACCTAAATAGGATAATTCGTATAAAATTTACATTCCAGCCAGATTGTGCTTATTTTAAATATACACACATTAATAAATGCCAGATTTTAGATGTGGAAAATGAAATAGAGGAGATAGATATTTTGTTTTTTAGACAGAAATCCATAAATGTTGGATAAAATAAGTAAATGTTGGCTCATGGATTCATAACTCTACAATTTAGAGTTTACTGAAAAGATTCATGTATTAAATAGGAGAGTAATGAACATGCTTCATTATTTGCTTTTCTTTAAAATTAAATTCCTATATATTCAAAATAAATTCTAGGAAATGACGAAGTTTGTATGACTGACCCTTATATACTTACATGTATATTAGATACAGAGTGTAATCTGATTGACATATTATGTTGAATGTATGCATGCATAACTGATTGACATATGTTGCATGTATTGTATGTATAATTATTGATTATAGATATGGAATTATAAATGGGAAGTAAACTAATAAGCTGATTGACTGTTTTGTCCAAATTGTGATATTGAATGAAGAGATAATATTGGTGCAATATATACATTTAATATACACTAAACCTGAACACACATCACTTTCCCCCTTTATTTAATTCTGACTATATAGACTAATCCTAACCCTATGTGGACCAAGAACCTGTGAAGCTGTCCAGAATAGTGGCTGGTGCAGAAATCCTATAGTTCAAACTGAAAAATTAAAATTAGTTATTAACTGTCTGTAAAAAAATTAAGATATAAGAAGATAAATTAAAATTGTAAAATTAATAGAGAACTTAGACTGATAGATTGTATCAACATGGTGGGAATTATTCATGCTTACCTTCAGTAATACAGCAATGAAAAATAATGGAGTCAGCACTGCAAATCTTTGATTTTTTTTTTAAATGTATCTTCAAAATCTTTAACAGATCTAAATGAGATGACATATTAATGGATCTTAATTCTAAAGATATGGAACAAATGAAAAACCCAGCAATTCTCATTATATGTAGGTTAAGGCTTTTTAAAGAAAGTGCTTACTATTGATATGTACTAATTCTCCTTAGAAAGATAGACACTTTAAGCATTCTCGCCAAGTGCTGAGTATAATTAAGGAACAATTTAATACCATTCAGCAATAATATATGTGTAGGAACAGTTACAATTGATATTCTTACTGCCTATAACATTTTTCAAAAATAAGCTAACAGCAAATCTATAATTACTGTTTCTTTCTTATATGCCTCATGTGCATTTGCCAAAAATATCAAACTATCCTTTGAGCATTAATTAGGACACTGCTGCCAGAAATTTAAATGACTAAAAATGTGGAAATACTGCTTGTATTGCATAAATTTTATGCACTGCATAACATTATTGTTTTATTATTTTAATTTAAAAAAAATTAAATTTTTTATTATTTTTATTTCTTTTATCTGTTTTTATGTCTTTTTAAGCTTCCCTCAGTTGCCATATGTGAATAGGCAGTAATATAAATTTTCTAAATGAATGAATAAATGAATGAATGAATAAATAAGATATTTTATTCATAGATGTCAATGGTATTTAGCAGTCCAGTAAAATATGTGTTCTGTGATCAATCACAATGAACATTTAGACAATTTAATCCATTCATTTATGTCTAGGTGAAGGTCACTTTTGCCCTAAATTGTGTGAATGCAATATAATTTCACTTCTAAGAAAGTTTTTCCCCCAGTGCATTGCATTGCATAAATTGTCTATGATTAAATGACTTGTATGTTACACTGATACAAAATACACCTCCAAGATCATCATCATGTTCACATGCAGTTCATATTAAGCTAGCCAGGATAAACATTCAGGAGCTTCTTTAATTCAGGAGCATTTTCTTGCCAATTGCTAATTAACAGTCAAACTGAGTCAGAACATCTGATGGCAGTCTTAATCTTTAAAAAATATTAGTAATAGATCAAATAAATCTTTAGCTGTTGAGATACTTATAAAAGAAAATAATAACATATTTTACAAATAAACATTTTCTTGTAATGCACACAATAGGTTTTGTTATTAGTTTAGAACAAAGATTCCTAAACTTTTTGCCATCACATCTTCCTTTAATTTAATCTTAATGTGCACAATTCTCCCAAAAATCAAAAATCCAAAATGAACGCAAACAAACAATGCAAACAATAGAATGAAATTTTGGAAAAAGATGGACTTATTAAAACAATTTAGAATTATATGAGAGTTATCATAATTTAATTAATCAATTTTCTATTAGCCCACTCTTTTTTTTTTTTTAAGACAACCCAGTTTTAAGAGATTGGATAACCATTTGTCTGAAATAGTATAGGGTTTCCTGCCTGAGCAGAGGATTGAATTAAAGACCTCCAAGTTCCCTTCCAGCTCTGTTATTCTATTCTATTCTATTCTATTCTATTCTATTCTATTCTATTCTATTCTATTCTATTCTATTCTATTCTATTCTATTGCAGTATATCTATTCTATTGCAGTATATCTATTCTATTGCAGTATATTCTATTCTATTGCAGTATATCTTGTGTCAATGATTTCGCCTGGTTAATTATACATTGCATGAATAATGATTTTGTTTTATCTCTTTTCAATCTTCTTCCAGTACTATACCAATCTGATTTTCATATTTATTGTTATTTTGCTAATAATTGCTACTAATTTTATTTATTTAAATTTATATAATTTGTATATAATTTGGAAAACATAATGTGATATATATTTTTTTCTTAACTCTGTCTTTAGTGTGACCTTTCCAATGCATTTATTCCAAAAGCTCTCCTTAATGATTCTTTGACTTCCTTATTTCTAAAGCTATATATTATATGCTTCAGCAGATAACTGATAACAGAATAAAATATATAAATTAGTTTATCATGCTCTGCAGAGTAACTGGATTTAGGCTTCATATACATGAACATCCCTGACCCATAATAGATCATCACAACTGTCAAATGATACGAACATGTTGAAAAGGTTTTCCATCTGCCACAAGTGCTGTGGATCCTCATTATTACACTAATAATATAACCATATTAAATCAGAATCAAGATAAAGGGCAGAATAGTGTGCCTAGGCTTCCAACTAACATTAATAATTCATTTAAAGAGGTATCAGTGCAAAACATGTGCAGTAAAACAGGAGCCTCACAGAAAACATGGTTAATGTCTTATAGGGCACAAAGTGGGGGCAAAGAAAGATAAAGAGGGAGAACAGAAACTAGAAAGCTAATAATCCAAGAAGCAACTGAAATTCTAATGCATGTTTAGGAATTCATTATTATGGTGTAACACAGGCTAGACACACTGCTAAAAATGGTCAAAAGCCATCACAGCCAGGAGGATACATTCTGCTGCTCCCATGAAGAGAGAGAGATATGTTTGTGCCATGCACATGCAGGAGTGGGATTCAATTTTTTTAACAATCGGTTCCGTGGACAAGGCTTTAATTTGTAGGTGTGGCTTGTTGATCATGTGACTGGGTGGGTGTGACTTGCTGACTGGCGTGGTTTGGTGATCACGTGACCGGGTGGGCATGGCTTGGTGGGCATGTCACTGGCAAACCAAATACAAGTGGTCCTCATTTAATGGCAGGTTGCTTAGCAAGTGTTCTAATTTATGACTGATCTCCTCAGAGCTACTTGACCTGTTTTTGGAGCTTTGACAGCCCTGCACACGCGCGCGCGTGCACACACACACACACACACACACACACCCTTCTAATTCTGCTATTCTATGATTCTGTAAGGATCTCTGGAAGGAGCAGGGGGTTGGACTAGACGATGACCTCCAAGATCCCTTCCAGTCCAGCCCTAGATTGCTGTGCTGCTTCAAAGAATCTTCTGAAGTCAGGGTTTGTGTTCTTTCTTCCTCTCTTTTTTTCTCTCTCCCTCCTTCCTTCCATGTATCTATCTATCCATTCATATGTCTCATTCACTTTCTCCTCCCTCCATCCATCTCTTTCCTTCTTTCTTTGTCTTTTTGTCCCTTCCTTCCAATGCCCTTCTTTCTTTGTCTATCCCTTTTTCCTTTATCTTATTTTCTCTTTCCCTTTTTCTTTCTTTCCCTTTTCTCTTTCTTTTCTTTCTTGTCTCTTCCTTCTCTCTTTCTCTTTCTCTCTTTCTCTTCCTCTCTCTCTCTCTTTCT